CCCCCCCCCGCCAACAACTTGTCCTGCAGCCTCACCTAGTTAAGAATCATAATAATAATTACCACTTCTCCTGTGGCAGGAACCATGCGAAATGCTTCCCAGGCATTATCTGCCCGAACACTTGCAAATGCCCTATGAGCTGGGTGTCATTATCCTCATTTTACAGGCCAGGGGACTATGGCTCTGAGAGGTCAAGGGACCTGCAGGAGGTTGCACAGCCAGAGGGCAGAGCTGGGCTTTGGCTCAGGGCAGTCAGACTGCTCACTCCTTCTGAAAGCTCCTACCACCACATGCTGGGCTCAGGGCCTCTGCTCAGCTCAGTCCTGAGCTTATCCGGAGAGTTCTTACCACGCTGATGGTAATGACAATGGTAAACATACAGAGTGAGCACCTTCCTTGTGTCAGGTGTGGTTCTGGGGGGGCGGGGAGGGGCTACATTAATGGGGTAAGTTTTATAGCTTAAAGATGCCTGCAAATTCGACCCTCCTCCCTTAAGGAGTAGGGTCTATGTCCCCTCCCCTCGGATCCGGCTAAAGAGAGTAGAGAAGAAGTGACCCCACTCCAGCGTCTGCTTCTCGGCCTGCAGACTGGCATATTCCCCTTCATGTGTGGTAGAACGCTCCTTCTTGGAACCTAGCCGCCATGCTGTGATGAAGCTCCAGCAACCCGCCCGGAGAGGAATCGTGGCCCCTGGTCAACAGCCAGCTCAAGCCAACAACCCTGGCCAGCTTGCCAGGAGTCATCTTGGATGTCGATCCTCTGGCCCCACTTGAGACCCCAACCGATGCCGCCTGAAGAGGTGAGCTGTCCTGCCAAGCCCTGCCCAAATTTCAGATTTGTGGGCAAAATAAATGACTGTTGGCTTAAGCCTCTGAGTTTTGGGGTGGTTCGTTATGCCATGCCAGACAACCAGAACACGGGTATTATTACTAACTGCACCCGAGGGAGGAGGAAATCCATGCTCAGAGAGTGGGAACTTTGCCAGAGTTCTCCCAGAGCCAGGGAATGGTCTGGCCACGGCCTCGGGATCCAGACCCTGAGCCCTTCACCACTACAGTAAGCCCTTCACCACTACAGTAAGCCCTTCCTATTTTGATCAGTCAGATAGGAAACCGAAGCTCAGACACGGGATGTCACTCACTCAAGATCCCACAGCCGGTAACTGTGAGCGAGGCTCTAAAATCACCAAGTCTGACCCCAGACCCTGGCTCTTCATCCCCACATGAGGTTTTGACTGTTGTCTGTCTGTCTCCCCAACCAGACCTTGAGCTTCCACAGCTTTGTTCCCTCTTGTACCTGGGAGTCCCCAGGGAGTCCCCGGCAAAAACTCTGCAGATGAAAGCCCTTCTCCCCACCTCACGGAGAGGTGTCTTTCAGGACTCAACCGAGATGCCATGTCCCTGGGAAAGCTCTTTGGCCCCATGTGCCAGGTCAAGGTGCCCCAGGTGGGCTCCCAAGTGTGTGGTGTCACCTCTGCCTAGAGCGTACAGCACCCTACATACAGCTGCCTCTGCACGTGTCCATCCCCCACCACTTCAGCATGGAAGCTTCTTAGGGACTGGATGTGACTCACCTGGGTCCCCGGCATCACCCAGCACAGGGCCGGGCACACAGGAGATTTAAGTAAATGTTTGTTGAATGAATCAAAGACCAGGTCTTCAGGGAATGAGTTAACAGAGACAGTCGTTGGGAGGGTCATGGTTTTATTGCTGAGTTTCAGGGAAGGGGCTCAAATCCGCCCAATCTCCCTCAGCTTGGCCACCAGGTCCTCCGTGGTCTCCACCTTGACGCCGGCCATACGCTGGGGCGGGTCCTCCACGCTAACCACGGAGAGCTTGGAGGTCAGGTCCACACCCAGGTCTCCGGGCTTGATCACCTCAATCTTCTTCTTCTTGGCTTTCTGCACATGGGCAGCCACAGTTCACGGGGCTGCTGGAGCCCTTGCCCCGTCTCCGGCAGCCTCCTCCCTGTGACTGCCACGTCTGCAGAACCAATCCCATTGCCTGAACTTGTCTGGACCTACCCACTAGCCAGGACATCTGTGACCTCTTATGGGGCCTGGTATAGATCATTTCTGTGGGCAGGGATGGCCTGGGAAGCCCCTCTATTAAGGGTCCTCTTTAAGTCAGCTGCCTTGGAAGCCCTTCACTGGCCCAAAGGGACTGGTACCGTCAATCTTCTGGCAGTAATGACTCAATGGACTTTTGGCCAAGCCGACCCACTGAACCCACCCTACTGGAGGATGAGATGACCCACTGAACGCTCCCTGTTGGCTGAGCTAACTCATTGAACCCATCCTACTGGATGAGATGATCCACCATACCCTTCCTCTTGGCTGGGATGGCAGGCTAAACTCTCCCTGTTGGCTAAGATGACCCAATGAACCCATCCTACTGGCCATGATGAACAGCGAACTCTTCCTTTTAGCCGGGTGAGCCCTTCCTTTGGATAAGAAGTCCCCTGGATCCTCTGTCCCTGCATCTGAGCACCAGGGAGGCACTGGGCCTGCAATGCGTTCACCCATTCCCGGGCCCTCGGGGACCCATCCGCTAAGCGCTCACCATGATGTTGGGCAATGTGGCGTAGCGGGGTTCATTGAGCCGCAGGTCGGCGGTCACCACGGCAGGCAGCTTCAGCCGCAGGGTCTCCAGGCCCCCATCAATCTCCCGCTCCACTTTCAACTTGTCCCCTTCCAGTGTCACCTGGGAGGCGAACGTGCCCTGGGGAGATGCGGGGGGGGGGGAGGTTAACTCAAAACAGGCACAGAGTAGCAGAAGTGTATGCACAGGTGAGCAAATGAATGACAGAACAGAAGAGAGAGGGTCCTGCAAGGTAACCTACAGACATCAAGTTCATATACAGGAGGAAACCACAGAAAGGGATTTCATAAATCTAGGGCCAGGTTTCTGTACTTTCCCTGGGAGCCAAGGTGAGGGTCCTAATGACCTGAACCTGCCAGTTAGGTTCCTGCCTATTATTAACCTCCCTTAATAATGATGAACACGTATGGAGTGGAAGGATGCTGTTCTAAACAACTTACATGCACTAAGTCATCAGGCCCTCATGGGAACCCTATAAGGTAAATGCTATTATCTCCACTTTACAGATGAGGAAACTGAAGCAGAGAAAGGCTCCAAAATGTGCTCACTGTCACCCACCACCGGTCAATCCAAGAGCTGCCTCCATGCCCTATTCCCCCTACCCACCATTTTGTCCCCTGGGGCTCCCTTCCAGGCCCCCCTGCTAGGCTGACCCTGGAAAGGTCTGCTGGGGCCCCATCTCCCTCACTTGGTGCCCATGCTCTGGCCAAGCCCCCTCTGCCTCTCAGTGCTGAATCAACATTTGCTGATGTACCTACACCCTCTTTGTCCAACCAACCTGTTCTCTCCATTCACTTATTCACCGAACAAACCTTTCCCAAGTCTTAGCTGGAATGTTCCGTCACTCCCAGTCTCATCCGAGCGCCCCATGAACCAGCCCTCGGATACACTGTGAAAATGACCAACAAGGCCCTGGCTTTCGTGCGCATTCATCCTGGCCAGGAAAACCGCCGGGAACCAAATACATACAGAGCAGCCACAGGACTCAAAGTGTCTTCTGAGCGTAGGAAACATGGCTAGCGCAATTGAAGGATGGACTTTTTCATCTTATTAATTAATTTAAATTAAAAGACTGAGGGGCGCCTGGGTGGCTCAGTTGGTTAAGTGCCTGACTCCTGACTGCAGCCCAGGTCATGGTTTCAAGGTCATGAGATCAAGCTCAGTGGGGAGTCTGCTTCTCTCCCTCTGCCCCTCCCCCTGTTCTCGCTCTCTCAAATAAATCAATCTTTTAAATAAATAAATAAATAAACTTAAAGACCAATAAGCCAAATATATTATCATGATTGTGATGACGGCTTCATGGGTGTATATGTGTGT